ATCCTTTTCTTGTATCTATTCAGTTTCTCAGTAACTTAGTTAAGGGACAAATTAGAAACCTAAATTTTCGGTCACCAAGAAGGCTTTATATACTTAAATATATCTTCAATATGGATAAAGTTTAAACCAACTTGCGTATCACGGCAAATTCGAGAACGGTTTGTACGCACAAAATTTCTCTTTTCTCCAGATGAGAGCGAGATATTGTATGGGCGCACCCGAAAAAAGTGACATTGGGTGTCAGCAAAACGTACTCAAGTTTCTTATGCTACGCGTGCAGTGGTATAAGAGGTCTTGTAAGTTTATTAATATTATCACTGACTAACTCACTGTTTCACAGATCATTAAAATTCTTAGATATTTCTAGCGGATACACGAGTCTTTCCTTTTGTACGCTGTTCTTATTTAGCCCACGTTGTATTTTAGATGGGACACAATTGCCGCTGTTAGTGATGATGATGCTTCTGATAATTAAAAACACTAATATCAGAAAAGAAAACCAGTTTAAGACGTTCTTAGTTTTAAATTCTCAATTTAGAAACCGGGTTATAGCCTATCTTATGTAAGAACGCCAGTGAATGAAGGACTCATTACTGCTTCGTCTATGTAGTTGTAGTAAACGGCAGTAACTGGCCGGGATATCGGCTCATCATGTCTAGCATCAAGATCTGTATTCCAAGATATTTTGCTGTCATCCGTGGTTTCGCCCGTAAAAGAAAATAACAGTGTTTTTACTGCGATAACGTAATCCATTTCATTCTTCAAACTCAACTTTCTTACAAAAAATTGTATATTAACTAAGACTGTGTTAATATTTCGTAAATCGTTTCGTAAATTTGCGGAGGGAGACCTTAAAGTGAAGAAACGGCGAGAATAGTATTGAAAAAAAAATGGAGAAAATCGCGGACATTTTGTGCGGAAAATGTGGATTGTTACCTAACATGCCTGTAAAAATGCTTACAAAATTTGACGAAACTTTTTGCATTTGTTTACATAAAAATTTCATAATAAGATTCGGTCTTATATTAATTTTTCTTGCCTTCACCTGGACACGCGTCGACGGCGACGCCCATGGCAGTGACCGTGCGGTTCCGTACTGTTGCGTTCGCGCACACGATGCACTGTACATTGAAGTAACATTTTTAATCACAGTGAGATATTGATTTTTATTTAGTGCAAAAATATTCTGCACCAATTGTTACTTGTTCTAAATCGAATTCCACCTTACCCTCCTATTTATTTGAACGTGTGTGTTACGTCAATTTGAACGTAATAAAAAAAAACTATAGACCTGATTATAATACAAGCTTATAACTATTAATTAATGATGAAATTTTAGACTTAAAGTTAAGTCTAATTCATAAAGATTTTATGTAAATTATACATCTTTTATCATGAACCTTATAATTTCCCCATTACTGCGACTCGGGCCTTCAATATGGATAACATTGAACATGGAGAAATGGGTCATGACATTTAGATTATTATTAATATTTGATGGATTATTGATTATTAACGTAGATTGATCGTTTAATAAAAAAATTACATACTTAATTTAAAGTTTGAGAGATTATTGATAAGTGTTGTGAAAGATTATTTATGAAAACAGAGGATAACTCATAAGGTGTCAAAGCAGACTTGATAATATAATAATATTTATTTTTACACACAGCCAAAATACAAGAAAATAAATTAAAAATAAATACTTATAAACGTTATAAAACAAATACATTTTAAAGTTGATATTCAATAATTTATAGGTAAATTTGGAGTTTTGGAATGGGAGTAAAATGTCTTTTGATGATCTTTTCGAAGAGTTGATTGATAAAAACACTAAGTATTTTATTTTTAAAGTCGGTAACTTATAATGTAAAATGTAAACAAAAAGTATATTATATGTGTCCCAAAAATTTACACCCTAAACTATTTCTATGGAAGACATAATAAGGCAGGTGCGAAGAACAACCCGTGTGTTCACAAGCTTCGAGACAAACTTTATAGTGAAAAAATATAAATATACGTTATTTATTTTTGTTACCGATTTTGAATTTGGTTCTCCTCCAGCCCCGACTTCAAGCCGCTGGATTATTCTTTATGGACTGAATTAGAGCTCAGGGCCTGTCGAAAAGCCCACCCAAACTTGGAGTCACTGAAGCGAACCCTTGTTTAAGTAAATATTCGTGCCGCCATTGATGACTGGCCAAATCGTCTAAGGGCCTGTAATAAAAACAAGGACGGTCATTTTGAATAAAATATATATTTTATTGTTGATTATTATCTGGTCACTGAAAAAAAATTAGAAATATACGTTAGTTATTAAAAAAGTTACGCAACTTTTATTTCGTCTCAAAACTTATGAACACACGAGGTACTATTCACATATTTATCTACAGTTTTTGTTCTGTGTATTTGTATCTTCTCAATCACCCTTATTTTATCTCAATATATCATTGCACATTATTACACATCATAATTCAATGAAAAAATCAGTCACTTTTTTCATGAGATCAATGATCAGTGAAATACTGTTATATTAATTTTTAATATTGCAATTTGTGTTAGTCTACAATTTTGGTCGATTCTGAAGAAAATCTTTTTCAATACATATATACACCAACCTATTCTGTTTCTTGTCTATCTTACTGATGGCATGTGATGTAACTGATTTGTCGAATGACACTTGGTAACAGTCCAAAAGTAATTTTTATTTATAACAATTTGTGCAGCGATCAATGAATTTATGAGATTGCAAATAGTTTTATTTGCAGTGAAACAGCATTAGCAGTAGCTGCTCAGCTCGAGCACAGCGCCGCCGCGGCATAGAGGATAGTCAAGTAAAACGGACAAGGTTTTATTTAATTGGACCTCTTTTCTGCGATAGCGCTTTGTTCGACGTTGAGTTTGAGACTGCTTTTATTTGAAATAGATACTTATAACATATATATATTACAATTTACTAATAACTAATGTGTAAGAGTTGAATAGTTACACAGTCTTATATTTTTGCCTTAAACCAAAAATCACATTCAAATATTGAAATGATATTAACAGTGCGATTACGTGTAATTATATAACGGTTATAAGTTTTTTATCAATAAGGGTATAAAGGTACTCGAGTACATGATTGGTATAGTTATAAGTATAGTTATATTCATTTGGAAACATAACTGTTTATAAAAGCTGTTTCAGAAATTGAATATATTGTTTCTGAATTGTTTGTCAACATATATATCAAATTTCAGTAATATTGCAAAAATATAAAGATTCTAACTTTGTTTTGGGGGTAATATTCGGAAAATTGTTTTGATCCACGCGAAGCTACGTCATACGCGGGTGACATAGGCTATGGCTTCCGCGGGAGAAGCCGCGAATAAACAAATAGTGTTTCATAAAACGTTGTTTGTTTGATTTTTGATTTTTTGATTGAAATATCAAATAACGTCTAAACTATGGAGATTTTTTACATCGTTATTACGAAGTAGTTTTAGATATGATTCGTTCCTCCACTTTAATGCCTATTTATCTAAGTCAAAAAAAAAAATTAGAAAATATGCATAAAGCAGATAATAGAAAATATGTATATCTATTACATATTTTCTTTTATTTGATTAATAAACTCCCCTATTGTTTTTGAATTATTCCGATACTGATTTGTAATAATTTCTATATTTGGTATAGATGTCTCCCGATATTAAAGAGGTTTCCTTAAGCGAATGTGTTGTACACACGTTGTTCACTATCTGCATTGCGAATGCTCATTTGTATTATCGTCCCCACTGATGTGGCACAGACCTTCCATATGAATAGAATCGAATAGGAGAGATATAATGACAGGGCCATGTGACCAGGAATGGTTGTTGTTAACGATTGCAAATGCAACTGGGACCAACAGCTTAACGTGCCACTCCAGTGCATGTAGGAGGATAATAAATTTATGGTCACCCATCCCATGATCGGCCATCGACAAAGTCGCTTAAATTCCGTATTGTAGGCTGAAAGCGCTAACACACACAGTGACACGGAGCTTCACCAATTGCGAAACTCGATTATGTCAAAATAGCGAATTTATTATTATTATTATTTTTAAATTATTTATGGTGCTTATGAGAATTGTAGCAATGCGAGTGTTGATAAATGAGCAAGTCATATTACCCTTTAATGGTGTCATTGTCTTGAATTACATTGTCTTTATATTTTAATGATTTCCCGTGTAAGGTCCCACTGTTTTTCGAAGCTTATCTATATTGTAAAAAAACAATAGAATGGACTCTGAAACTACTGGACCGATTTAAAAAATTCATCATGTGTGTATATTGTGTAGAATTTTCATATCTTATTCAATTTTGTAATATCAATACGTTTGTTTCCTTTAATTAAGCAATTGGCTTAAAGTTGGACTATTTATAAACACCCAGCTATGTAATATTGACTTATTTTAAATCTTGTACTAGTTTCTTGGGAGTAAAACTAATGGTGGCGGGATTGAATCTCGTTTGCGCCAAGAATATCTATTATCAATATGAATGTTTGGTATAAAACATTTGTCAGAATACAGGCCGTTTTAAGAGTTGACTCACAAATATATTTTTTATTAAAGTTTGACGATTTGTTTATTTACAACTTTTTTCAATAAATACACAAAATAATTAGAAACAACAGTAGCATTGCAAAGACATTTTGTAGAGGTAGGACATGAAACCATGAACTAGTGCGTCATAACCAATCTTGGTTATTTATTGAAAATTCATAGTCATAGTTTTCAATTTTAAAGGCATCAGACACTTACACACTGTTGAGTGATGTTCCACGTCTGAAGAGACGTATGTTCCGTCTTATGCACAAGGCCTCCCTTGTCAGGAGGGATATATGGACAGAAAAATAGCGAAAGACGCTTGTAATTAATTTATAATGGTCTCTATGTGAAGTCCAGTATGGTCATTTCCAAATATAAGTATGTGCTTCTCAAAATGTTGCTTCATGTGTCGGCCGTATGTTTTCAGGCGTGCATAGATGACAACTTGGACATGGTAGAGTTCCTGGTGACGCACGGCGCTGACGTGAACCGCGGCGACAACGAAGGCTGGACCCCGCTCCACGCGACTGCCTCATGTGGATTCCTCAGTATAGCCAGGTGAGATGAACTTAAGGCATGCGAGTAAATGTCCTCAATACTGCAGCACAGACCCCTTCCGTTGAAAGAAACACAGGGAAAACGAGCTCTTACTAACCTAAACGCGGTTTATGGGTGTTATGTCGACTGCCAGGTGCAGCCGGACTAATTGTTTAACATGCCTTCCACAGCATGAAGGAGTATATTCTGTCATTCATTTGATGACCGGCCTTCGTAAAAGTAGCCTAACATCGCTATTCTATAAATATAAATTGGTTTTCAAATTGGACACTTATTAAAGCGCTTACAATAGCATCGTTTTCTTGTGTGGTTATGAGAATAAAAGTAACGAGCAACGTCTGCTGTAGTTCTAGTTTTGTGGTACTGCCCGTTCACTAATACAGTAAAAATTGTATGCATGACGCCCCTGTGAGTTTCTTTTTACTATGTCATTTTAATCGATGGTAATAATGTAACTTTTTGACACTGTTGTTCAACTGTAGCGCTTTTAATGTTTCATCGTTAGCTCGTAATTAAGCCGTTCCTCGTATGATTGCTCGAATTCAGGCACCCGACGAATATGATCTATTGAATACGAGTAGTGCAAATGTCAAATCACTGATCGAAGTATAAATGAAGAATTCGGAAACTCGATACGATACGTACGAAATTGCCTGAAGCCGAAGCGTACTGGTCCACAATTAAGTATTTAAAAGGTTTCCTTTGTCTGAAATCTGTGCGATTAGGTAGAATTTGGTGACTTACTATTACACCGTGCGCGAACTATGTTTACAAAAAACATGTTTTGTTTGCACTGTATTTATTTTAAAGAATGATAATAATAATCACTGTATTACTTTTACCTTTACCACTACTTCTTATGTTTTTGACAATTATTGATTTCGGGTCGCGGAGGCTTATTCTAAGAGTTTCTTTGCTGAAAGCCAACCGGCAGACTTTTTCAAATACTCTTGCTCTGTAGTGGTTACAGTACAAGGTAGATGAAGTAGAAGATGCTTTTTTGATAGCGTCTTTCACTAATAATTACTCTTTAATAATTTATTATTTCACTCACTTCAGTAGCAAAATTACGAGTATCTTGGTTATGTAATATATCGTAATTGATTAGTATTAATTATTAGGTAATAAATTGGTATTGTCCTCTCAATTGCTTTTGATCAATTATGCCTTTTCCTAAAATCATTATTAATGAGTAATTTCCTTTAACATGAATCACATACGTTACAACTTTATATTAAATAACAGATTCAATTGCTGTTATTGTAAACAACGTTTGAGTCAGTCAGTCCTAGGGATGTACCAAATAAGTTTTTGTTAGAAGACAACTATTTTTTGACCTGAGGGAATAATCCTATCAAAATATTGCTTTAATGTAGGGTAAGTTTGCTTCAATCTTATTCCATTGTTTTTGTATAGTATGTATAATACACTATATATTTGTAGAGTTTGTTACTGTAATGGTACAATTACAGAAAATAGAGCATGGGCAGGGTCGTAGATGCGTAGAATATATCTAAACACAACACATTCCTTTGGTCAGTCGTGTAAAAAAGTCTTCAATAAAATAAGTAATATAAATTCATTATCAAATATAATAAGTATAAATAAATAAATTCTCACTAGTTTTTAGTCAAGATATTATTTAAGATATAGATGTTTTAGTAGCATTATATAACTATCTTGTGTAAACCCTAATGTGACCTAATAGTCACAGGAGTTCTGTCATGCTCATTGTTCGCGGTAAGATGATAATGTCGCAGTCTTATTGTCTCCAATGAAATGTTTAATAAATCAAGTGCAATAAATTAAAATTTAATTTCTGTCTGTTTAGTATAAATCAAAAGATGTGCACTTACTCATTGATGAAAATAAATTGAAACTATAATTTGTTAATTTATCAGTAAACTCTTTTATGGCTTGGTATTTGTAGTATTATTGTTATATATATTCATTAATGGTAGCCCGTTTATAAATAACTAATTTATTAATAGTTTGTACCTGGAAGTTTGTGTGGAGTAGGGCTTATAGGAGCTTTGAATGTTCTTCTTTGGCTTTCCATGGTAGTGCTTTATTTTTAATACTAACGTGTTTGTAACAAATCATACTGATTTTTAATATTATTTTCAACTCACAACATTTGCCTAATGCGGTTGCAGTCGTAAGGGACCGAGCAAAACGCAATAAACCTCGTGGTGTATAATAATGTTCTTCTCTCTCCTACTGTTTCTTACAACAGAGAGGGTACCCCAGAATTTGAGTACATTATTAAATACTACTAATACTCGAGTTGCTACTACTACTCGTGAGAGACCGAGCAAAATGCAATAAACCTCGTGGTGTATAATAATGTTCTTCACTCTCCTACTGTTTCTTACAACAGAGAAGGCTAGTACCCAAGAATTTGGGTAAGAGAGTCCTTAAGAGTTGCTACTTTTATTGCCAATTTTGAAATGCATATCTTGTTGTTACGAGAAATAAACGAATATACAGTTTTGTTTTGCGAAAGCTATAGCGATTATAAATGAAACTTGCTTGATGCTGTGCGAATGAGTTTCTACTAACTTATTTAAATTATTGATAATGTCACAATATGGTTTTCTTAATTACACACTAGCGCCAAAATGTATAAGGTGACATTTTTTGATTGGCAAGAAATTGCGTCTAGTGTACTCATTTGTTGATTTTGCGTATTTAATACTAATATAATAAAGAGGAAGGATTTGATTGTATGTTTGTATCCAATGGGACCCGTGTGGCCGCTTTTTTATTCAGTTAAATTAAAATAACAAAAACACTTAAAGAAAACATATCTGAATACTAGTATAACAGCTACCTGTTGACTACGACTGAGTGAATTGTGGCCTAAAGATATTTTAAAATTTGTCTAATTGTTTCGGAGCTTTCCTCTTTGAATAATATTGCATAAAACATATCATTAAACTTTAATAAACATGACTATCTTAGCATATTTAATTACCGATAATAATATTTAAAGAAAATCATATATTGATTTAAAATTATGTTTCGTTATCTGAGCTGAAAGTACAAGCAAAATAGTTCTGTCAAGTTCCTTTAAAACAATCTATACTTGAAATCTAATGAATAAATGTAAAATATTCAAGATGAGCAAGTACACCTTAGTAATTAACTACCGAGAAGAATGCTCCTACCAGTAAACGTATTATATTTAGACATTCTAAAATAATAATTAATAATAACCTAACATTCTTTCTAAAATTACTTACTTGCGGAGATAATTCAATGCAAAAATATAATCAAATTTTTATTCTTTATAAAATCAATTTAGACTTACCTTTACTAAAAAAAAAGTAAATGTGTTTAAAATAAGTTTGGCTTTGTAAGAATCCTATTTCAGACATATTTAAAAACAATATAACTTGTATACGTGCAATGTTTGATAATGTAGAAGTTTCTATTATGTCGCATCGCTATTGATAGAATATCCAAAGTAGTCATAACATTCTGGAAGTACCTAGGATTTTTCTTCTTTTCAACCCTAATGTTGAAATATTGCAACAATGTTTATTTGATTATAACTAAAATATTAGACTTATCCCTATAACCTTTGGAAATCAATATCTAACATTCGTATGTATAGTCGAGAGAAGTAATTACTTGAGAAAATGCCATAAGCAAATATTTGTAACAAACTGTCAAGAATTTTAATGGAATAAAGACGATGAATGGCTTATAATAATAGTATTGTAACTTTTGAGAGTTATTAAATTCTTGTTTATTTGTTAATGTATTGACATTATTCTCAAGTATTATTTCTCTCGACTATAGGTACTAACGATATAGAGTCCTTGGCTACCACTAATGTAACCAATACATTTGCTGGGGTGGATTCGTATCATTCATCAGGGAGACCTATGCCTAAACACCGCTGATCCGCACTGGGACTACTATGCGGGAACATTATGAAATACTAGGCAACCAACCCTATTATTTAATATCCTACATATTTTTTGTTTTACATACGGTATATCTTAAGATAAATTTTCTGTTTGACCTTTCAGGTATCTGTTGGAAAACGGTGCCGATGTGGGAGCAGTCAATTACGATGGGGAACTCCCCGTCGACATCGCTGAGAGCGACGCCATGGAAGAGATGCTACAGAAAGCCATTAACGATAAAGGTACCTGTGATGTTCTAATGCATGCTGATTCTATGTTCTTTCTTGCGGTTTATGCAGTTTTGTTCTCAAACTCAATTCCGCTAAAATTTTGCTATGAATCATCGGGATAAAGTGCTTTACAATGAACGATACAACGATGTTTCAAAAATTAAGTTACTACTGCATTTTGAAGAGATATGTGAATATATATCATTACAATTTAATTTTTAAGACATAATACAAATTTCAGGCTTTATCAGCTTAAAAGACGATAAATATACGTATACGTTAAGTTCTTTTTTAAATTATAAATTTACTCTCGGTTGGCCACAAGTACTTAAAATTGTCCAACCCCAATTTTAGGAGTATGCATAGACCTGAAACTCAAATAAACGAGATGATATCGCATGGCCCGCAGACCTATCAGTCATATAAATTGATATATAAGTCGTATACTATATTTTTAACTTCCTATGTTTCCTTGTTTATTCTTTATGGACACTGTTGATCTGTGATCCAGCTTAGGCTGCATCAGATGGACTGGAACATAGCAACTGTACTCAGTACATAGATACAACGGCATACTGTTGGACTTTCGGACCAATTTCCAAGTATCTTAGAGGGTTTCTTCATTGTTTTTATTTGGTTTGAATACTTTCTTTTCATATCCACTATTATTTTATCAGGTGTTGACTGTGAGAAATCACGTAACGCCGAAGTGGACACGTTGATGAGCGACGCGAAGAATTGGGCGGCGAACGGATATGTAGAGGTCCGCGATCCGAAAACGGGCGGTACGCCTTTACACGTCGCCGCCGCTAAGGGATACATCGACGTAAGTGACGTTACATATCAGCTTTTGAGTTGAACCTTATCGGAGAATTGGCGGAGAATCTTTTGCGTGAACTAGTGTAACCCTTTTTTTATTTAGTGAATAATGATTTATAACTTATGTATTGGTCCTTCAGCGAAAAGAGTACGAAAAATCTTAAGTCCGTAATTTTTGGCCTTACAGCAGAGGGATCTATTTTACGATGCCAAGATTTCCAACTTATCATAGTAATATCTTGTGAGAAAAGTATTTTTAAACTATAGCTACGCCTTGAATAAATTTTCGTAGTGACGTAGTACGTTCGTCTGTTAAAATTCCTACGTCTAAAAATTTTATATAGTGTACTAACAAATTAGGTACAGATATTTTTAAAAGTGACAGAATTCGGCTTTCGTACTAAATATATGTTGCAAATATTATACGCTTGTTTTGGCGAAAATTGGGAATGTTTATTTCGTAAAATATCAATGAGATAATCAAGTGATACCTGTTTGAACAGATTGTAGTACCTCTCTTAACTGGCTACTAGAAATTAATAAAACAAATGCTTGAATGTTAATGTCATGCTATATGTGTGATAATTACATTTATGACTGAATTTCATATTTGTTTTAATGAAATGTAGCAATTTTAATGGTAACTGATTTCTTAATAGCCCATATATCTGTATTTATACAAAGGAAAGGTTTGAACGTTTGTTTGTAAGATTTGAATATGTTCCTAAACTACTTAATCGATTTGAAAAATTCTTTCAATTATTCATAAAGGCTGAATAATATACATAGAAAAAAAACTACTGTTCGTACGAAGTAACGTTAATCGTACGAAATAACTGAATGCCTATTCTATTTCTCTGAAAACGAAATTTCGTATATTATCGAAATGCTAATACAACTCCAAAAAAAAAAAACGCGTTTTCACATGACAAATAATGCAACGCAGGACGTGACACTGCATCTGATGTCCAGATAATCTTCAAGAATATGATTTTAATAAAATTATGAGAACGGCTTGAAAATTTTGACATAGAATAGGCCTCAGATATCAAGTTTCTTAAGGTTATACTTCAGTATAGGATTATAAATAATAAATTTTTATTTCAGGTCGCTAAAACTCTCCTCGAAGATTGCAACGCTGAGCCGGACTGCATGGACTACGAGGGGTGGACGCCGCTGCACGCGGCCGCCCTCTGGGGGCAAAAGGAAGCGGCAGCTTTACTACTCAAGTACGGCGCCGATCCACACTTGAAGAACTACTCGGTACTTGCTTACATATTTTGTTTTGTTTACATAGATGTTTATTTGGTAAGCGTTGGTTTATATGATACTAGAATTCTGGTAAAAGCATCATCAGCACATAATTCTCACTACTGGGATGGGATCAAATATACGGGGTTGTCAATGACTGGGCTGGGAACCAAAGGCTTAATCAATTTCAATAAAAGTTATAATTATTAAATAGTAAATTTTTCTTACTTAATAGGGATGACGATTGGGTATAAAAAAGATATTCTATTTAGTCCGTCAGTCAGATAATAGAAAAATAATAGATACGTATTTTCTTTTTTACTTCAATTTAACAAGAAATAGCTTAGATAACAGGCATTGTAGTTGAGGAGTGGGGGCTCAATACTTCACAGTTTTGTAGAAAATGTACCAAAGCGTGACGTCACGCGACATTTTAACTCAATGTATTACCGTAATTTATGATTACGAATAAAATGAAAAACACGTGTTTTATATCTTTCAACAATCCATTTGACGGGCAAATAAATAAAAATTAGTCGTCATGCCTATTCCTTGACTGGCCATATGAGAAAGTTTCTGAAACTCAGTATCGCACATAGCACGCTCTTTGTTGAAATGTATTAATCGAAATATGTATATTTTTTTATGTAAAAAGTTTTATTGTATTGAGACGTAAAAAATGAATTGATTATATGTTAAACTCTAACAACAGTCATTTTGTATTGAATGGTATCTTATATTCGTTAAAAGTGCCAGTTTTGTTATACCACTTTATAAACCAGAAAATAATTATTTGGGTATACTTTATGGTTATCTAAAAATATGATTATATTCCTGTATATTATTAATAATAAGTTTACTTCTGATGTTTTCGTTGCTTAGGGTAGGTGCATATCTGACGCAAGGTGCGTCGCTCGCGAAACATTAGAACTGACTACTAAAAATATGATGTGACATTAGATCTGGCACACTACACATTAGAGGTTCTGTCATATACTAAATTATATTCACGTGAAGCGTTTGACGGATTTTCTGTTAGAAATGCACTGATTTGAAGCAAAAGTAAACTTAGTCTAGTCACTGCCACTTATTAATTTTAGTTCCATAGTGTGCTGTATTCTTGTAGTTATTTTTTTTTGTGGACTATATTGAGGAGGTTATAATAACATATGTCATCATTATTGGATATTGTAAACACACAATTGTATTGTATGAAAAAAAAAAGATTAATTAAACATTGGTAGTTATGGTAAGATAAAGAATGTGAATTTTGTACCACGTGTATTTGAAAAGACAGTGTAGTTTTCTTTATCACGATTAACCCTTACCGGTCCTAAAGCGAAGAGGCATGCAGTTACATTTCTGCACGTCGCTCTGCTATAGAAACGGTGGGGGTGGTAACGTCACATCTGCTTACGGACGAAGATTATTGAAGAAGAAAAGAAGCGGATATTATAATTAATATATAATTGTCGAATCCTTTCTCGCGCGAGGGTATTCGCAGCGAGTTTTATCAGGTAGGCGGACACACATTTTGACTTCGACCTTCGGGGCAGGTCCTAGTGGTTGGAGAGCCCTGATTTGAGGCAAATAGTATATTTTCACTGCATTAACAAAAAGCTAGCATAAGTAGCTCGGTGGCGTATAGGATAAACGCCGCGGCCCGCGATCGTAGTCGTTAAGCAACTTTCGCAAGGGTCGGTCACGGGATGGGTGACCAAAAAATTATTATCTCGAGCTACTTCGTGCTTCGGAAGGCACGTTTGCAGTCGTCAATACCCTCCAATCCGAATTGGGCGAGCGTGGAGGGTCATGGCCCATCCTCTTTAACCATCCATAAGGAAGGCCTGAGCCCCTGCAGTGGGGACGTAAAAGGGCTGGTGGATTAACAAAAAAAGGTTTTAACACATGGAGCTTTTGAATATTGAAGTATTTTATTCTACATATATGATAATTATTCTAATAACAATGATTTGTTTACTCGTAGGGGCAAACTTGTGTAGATCTTGTGGATCCCAGCATATCGTCATGGCTCACCGAAGCTGTATCGAAACTGCCTCGTCGCGTCAACAACAATAATAATAACAAGAGAAAACGAAGCCCACCAAAATACGACTGCAAACGAGTCGTGGAATTACACATAACGGGACAAAACGACAATCAAGTCAACGGTCAGTATATTTATAAGCAAACATATTGCTGATTAAAATATTGTGCCAATTATGTAACTTAAAACGAGGAACGTAAACACTAACCAAATCGAAAATTGTTACGACAACGTTTTGATTATTAATCACTATGATAAATACATTATGTCAGTGTAAATTGCAATTATAAGTTTTCATGTAGACAATTGACAGACTGTGCTTAAATATTCTTTGACCATAACAGTGTTGTGACTAAGGCACGTGGTAATATATAGACGAACTAGCTTTTGCCCGCGACTTCGCCCGCGTGGTCTAGTTTTAAGTCCAGAAATGAGAAAATTCCATAAAAACTTTCATCCCCTAATTTATCTCCTTAGGGATCGAATTTCGTAAAATCCCGTCTTAGTGAGCACCTATGTCCTAAAAGGAACCCGCATGCAAAATTTGAAACTCCTAGCGCTTGTAGTAACGAAGTTTCATGAAAACTTTCATCCCCTTATTAAGCCGCTTCGAGGTGGAATTTTCACAAACCCTCTCTTAGTGCTCCTCTACAGTCCCTAAGGAATCTTCATTCTAAATTTCAACACTCTATGCTCAGTAGTTTCGGCTGTAAGCTGTGTGTCAGCCAGACAGTCACTCAGTAACGCAAGAATATGTAATATTACTATATCTCCGCCAGTGGCTTCGCCCTCGTTGTCTTTTATAATACATATAAATCTTCCTCTTGATTCACTGTATATACTGCTTAAACCGCATTAAAATATGTTAAATAGTTTAAAAGATATCAGCATATAGACAGCGGGAACCGACTTTTTTTTATACGTTGCATTGATAATGTATATGCAATTTCAATGAAAATTGGAAGTGTCGTTTTGGTAATGAGATCAGCTGACATTTATATTACTATAGAATCTTAGACAATAAGCATTGGCAGCAAATTTATCCTATTAATTTTGTTTTGCTAGAGTTCCTCATTTTTAGTAATGAGTTTTATAAGAGAGTGTTTTACACCGATGTGTTTCATAATTATGCCATCAAATGTAAATACTTCAACATATTGTAGTCAAGAAAGATAATAAAGACGTTTTTCTACCTTTGATCGCTTGCAAAGTGAGCACACATCCGTCATAGTTATAACGTAATCTTTTGTTAACGTAATTATTGCAGTGATCTAAAAAATGTATTATTTGTACGTTGTCGCACAAACACATTGTATTAACACCAATCGCGTACATATCGATTGACAACTAACTGCTTGATTATCATCATTCCATATCCATATCTGCCTATCGCAGACAAATCGCCCGTCGAGATAATACCGATACCGAAGCCGGACGGTAAACCGCCCAAAGCGAGAGCGCCCTCACCAGAAGCTCAGCCTGAAGCCGAAGAGACCGCATCGTGGAGACGATCGGCTTCGTTCAGAAGGCAGCAGGAGGCAAACAGTAAGTTCATGTTTCATTGATCATCCCATTCAGAGGTCTCATTCATGTGGTGTCATGTCTGCAAGTAGACTGAGAAGAACATAATGTTAATTTAATCAATTTTAAAGTGGCACTACATTGTACTGCACGTTTTCATGTCCATATACATAGAAAAATTCATACAACTATTGTGCTGAAAAAAATCGTATGCCTTTGGAAAGTTTAAACGAATATTTAATAGACTTATGAGTCTATGCAAATCGAATGTAATTTTATGTATTCTGTGCATACATTGGCTTTATCTCATACACATAGCACCATATCATACTCTTTTAGCTGCTATACTCTTGCTTGGGTCACATCGGTTAAGAGTGACAAATTTTATCAAGCGTCTATTTCATTATTGACAGAATAATAGATTTATATTATTTAGCATTGACTTTTATTTATTTTAACTTTACTCGTCCATCTACGATATGTAAGCAAACAAAAAAAAAATATATTCCTCAGCAATCACGAATGTTTAGACAACCGCATTTAATGCTACTTCTAAAGCATTGGTCCGTTGTAAGATTTTACTCTGTGCAAACAGTAAGTACTGTTGAAGGTTCAAAGTTGGCTCCTGTTCTCTTGGATTTAATTTCAACCCATGTAATTGTGTTGATATTTGCACATCGTTAAATCTACGTATTACGTAAGGGATATTATTAAACTCGTATTTTTTTGTACTTAGGAGATAACGCCAAACCAGTGAACAACGCCTTAGACAACGACACAATATTGAGAAGAACGCATAGTTTCGAAAACGACAAGACGTGAGTAAAACTACAATCGTATACATGGATACACTTTAATATTTCTTCCCAAGGTCATTTTTATAAAATTATCATGAAGAAAGGAAGTATTTACTTAGCCAGTGACGTATCTAGACGTGGATGAATCGGGCATGGCTTACCACTAAAAGGGACTTCGCGAGCATTTTTTTGAAATAAGATAGATTCCGACTCCGCAAACTTTTCATATCTCTGCTACTACCATGTGTTTATTTTAGATCTGTCCAAAACTGTGTTTGATTTAGGCGCGTCTTGTTACATACATTTCACGTTATTACGGATTATTGTTACAAATATAATGTAAGCTTCTAGTTCGCGGCGAATTCGCCCCATCTCGATAAGGTTGTGTATGTCAATGTAAAATGTGTGGCTAGTTAAACTTAATCGCAGATGGCGTTGTCATAGGTTCTGCGGTATAGCACAGTCAAATAAGCACAAAAAGAGAACAACTGATCGACTATAACACGTATTATAGTTGAAATAAGCTTTACTTCTCCATCTAACACTAATGAAACTACGAAATGGAATTTTAGAAACTATTTTACCAATTAAGAGTCAATATCGTTATTTATTTTGTTTTCCTGTTCTTATCTGTTCTTGGATGAAGCTACGACAACGCAGTTTTTTCTTTCTCATCTCAGATTATAATCTTACTTCTTTAAAAAATATTTAAAGGCTTACAATTTTAATGGTAGGCAATAGGAATATGTACTATCGAGTAGATTCTTGGAACAGCCCTGCGATTCTGTAAAAAACCAAACCTAAATTTCATATTCACTCAGTTGTCAGAATTCACTTCAAAAAGCGGCATCCGCTGCTTAACCTTGAATTGGTAATAGCTTTTCGTGGCATAAGTGAAGTGAGTTTCGAAATGACATAGGAATAGAATAATTTAGATACATATGTTCAATCAATTTTGTTTTGTATTCCCATACAATAAATTGAATCAATAGAATTTGTACACTCAATGACGTGAATTCTGACATATGAGTGAATTCGAAATCGGGTCTGGATTATTACAGAATTGCAGGGCAAGTACTATAAAGATAAGGGTCTCGCCGATGCAACTTCGCCCACGTCTAGTTTAGTTCACGCTACGCCACCGCACTTGGCATGCAACGATGTTTACCCTACTTCCATCGGAAATATTTCAGCAGCATTATTATCTAACTTTACCATAATAACACATCGCAAATTAAAAACTATGGAATTTTAATATGCATCACATTTTTACGAGTGCTAACATCATCGATCAAAACTTCTACTTATGTATATAGCGTGGAATAAAATTATGTGCCTTGAAGCTCAAGTAGGTGTAATGATCGATCGACAAGGTACTTTCCATTGGGGGTTAATAATTAAAAAACAATATATGGTTAACAAAAAGTAATAAAATATTATAGTATAACTATTGCAGTTTTGAACAAAGCTTCAAGCAACTGAAAGATTTATTATCTCGTGTAGAATATCGAGAATAGTAGACACCAAGGCTTTTTGTTATTTCTGCGCCGGTTTTTTTCTAACGATACACGATAATCTCAAAACTATTAACGATTTAATTACTTCCCTTTATCTGTAAAATAAATAATATTTTTTTAAACTTGTATTGTTTTCAAAGGTCCTAAGTTCGAACACTATAAGGATAATATATTATTTGTGTGCTAGAATAAAGCAATCGTATTTATTTAAATTACATAAAGAAAAATAGTTTTAGTAAACTTTATTCCGATATTAGTTGAGTATAAAATCGCATCACAAAAAGTGTGCTAAATTCGAAAACGGCTGTTAGTATTCAGTAAAGTCTAAAACTGGGTCAGTTGGATGGAAAAATATCGAAAAATTAAAAGGAGGATAGTAAACAACATTTTCCTTACAAACTGGTAATAATCGAGGGTTTAGCTACAATAAATCAAGTAAAATATGAAGTGTGACCGTTTTAATTGTACCACGTTGTAGCCTTGTAGCCTTTTGATTTCATGGTACATGATATATTAGGTTGATGTTGATTTCAGAAAAGACAAGGGCCGCGTTGTGAGCTTGCTTATAAGCAGATTCGATAAAACAAGAGACTTGGGAGTTTTTAAGGAGCTAAGTGCTTTGGACCAGTTAGTCAATATTAATTATTGTGTATATCAATATGTAACAGTCTTTGTATCGTCCAATGGCGGAGGTTCTTATCGTGGCAGGGTTATATTAATGTTAAAAATGTGTTTTTTTTTTAAATGTAATAATTATCATTTAGCGTTGCTGTTATATAGAGGTGGTAGTGAAATTTGAACTTTAAAATGTATGAACTAACATTAACTGCTGCTGCCATTAACTGCTAAATGGTAATTATTGCACAGTGATCGTCATGCTTTATACATTGTATATATCGTTGGCAATGTATTTGTTGTATAATGTTCTTCCTAAGGGTCCTTCCATACGAATAGCTCTCTTCTGACGACAAGTAATTGTAACTGCTGTCATTTACCGAAAACTGTCACAACTTTGGCGATTGTGGCCATTGCGCTCAGTGTTTTATCAGATGACTGTAAATAATCCAGACGTTAAAGTTTGTGTGAATTATATATGTGACTGCAGTTACTTTAACTATGTGATGTTTGAAAGGACCCTAATTTAAAAGCTGAGATAGCGAGTTTAATATTAATTGGCTTAAATGCAGTATCGGCGTCTCATAAAACAAACGAGAAATATGAAATTCTAATATTTAACCTTTGACAGCCTCTGAGTAATATTTGATAACAGCAAACAACTTTCATTTCATTATAAAACTCCATCAGTAATAAAAAAATATTGTTAAAGTATTCTTAATAACAACGCACATTTAAACATACGAACACATTGGTAGTATATTCTTGCAATTTTTGCAAAACATTATTAATTTTCCTTTAAACAAAGCACTGTACCTGTTTAAATGTCACATAGGGCTTTAATTAGGCGCATAATAAGAGGCGTATTTCAAAACCTATTGCTATAGGTCATCGTATCTCAACATTTTTATTTTAGCGACACCCCGCCCTTTCTCCCCAACAAAAATTTCAATATTATTTATTCAGTCAAGATGGATACTGATGAGATTCTAAAAACTACATCGTTGATTCATTAATCTCTTTCGGGCGACTGCTTACATGAACCAACAGGAAACTTATCAAATTATCCACATATCTTCCTGTTTTAAAAGTCAAATTATAAAACTTTTAATAACTATTTATACAGTTTTTATCGCAACTTAATTATTAGATTTTTATTACCTATTTTATTAGATTTTTTTCTTTATTTATTTCTTCTTTTTCGATAAACAAAGAGGATCTAGTGTGGCAAGAAATGCTTAGACAATTATATTTCTTCATACACTTTGGTTTTCTTAATTAAATTCACGTTATGTAAGGATACGTATGTGTCACATTTGGCATGTCAGAATTTTACAATTTTACAACTAAATTGAATGAATGAGGTATCTTCATGAACAAATTACGCCTCCTGCAATATAGAACACGAACAATGTAGGGGTCGCTCTCCGAAAGTTGAGAACCGATGTTTTACACCTTCCACTTCTATCTCTCTCTAAATTAGTTCCCTCACTAAACTGAACTGAGGATGGTGACTCGATTTTCTATTGAGGCTATCGACTGTGCTGTATTCCACTGCCTAAAAAATGTTAGATCAAATGAAATACCCTATCGGTGCTCGCTACCTCAGCCGCCCGCATGCCTGTCTCTGTTCAGCTTCTACCAGCGGTACCGGGACGTGACGGCGCGTATAAAGGCCTCCTCGTGTCCATCGATCCCGCCGCTGCCGACCGACAGGAAGGAAACTAACACTAACGACGACGCCCAGAACAGGTGCTGCGCTGTTCGAACACTCTAGTTTTATGTGCTCACTGATCTCTATCAATTAAGGGTTCCGAAAGAAAAACAAAATGTATGATAGTTAAACCTGGAGTACCGATTATTGTTAATTTTTTAGTGAACAAATATATGGCGTTGTGACGTCAAAATTTAAAGAACCGTAAACGTTTTACATTAATAAAGTGAAACTGTAAAACATTGATATGTTATGAATCATTCGTTCATTCAGTTTGACAATAGAATCAATGTGAGCACATTAAAAACGAGGTTCGCGATCACTACAATAACAAAAACTAAAAACTCATTTTAACTTTACATTATATATTTTTTGTCTGCTACGGTATGCTTCTGTTCTATATGTCATTTATTTATGTTTGTATGTCGTTTCTTGTTACTCGTTTGTATGGTTTGTTATGTTGAGGAATTCGATTTTCAGTTAACTTTACTGTGAATTGTTTTGTATAGTATTATAATTCTTGGTAAATTGTTCTATTAATAACATAATGTCACAATTTCAACTTTCATGAGGTGGGTTTAAGGTTCATGTTCGTTTGTTCAGAATAAACGCAACGGATAGAAGAGAGAGAGACGCCAACACATGGACCGCTCCTGCTACGACAACCGCAAACAATAACACAACCACTACGAATATCACATCACAGACGACAACGACAATAAGGAGGTATGTGATTCGGTATTATCAACCTTAATACCATTCAGTTTTACTATTTGATTTCGAATGTCATCAATACATTTTGTCCTCTTACAAGATTCATGAAAAGCTTAAATAATCATAAATTTTTAAATTTTTAACAGTGAAGTTGTCAACAAATAAAATTATTGGATTTATTGGTGAATCTGTGTTACGTATACGTCATTGGTACTTGCTAAATTCACACGATACGTATAAATAAAGGCACGTAAAAAAAATCTGTTTAATATATTACAGATATGATTTTATAGAAAATCTTATAATGAAATATGGTTTCGACCGAATAGTGTGTTTTTACATACTGTGATTTTTTTCTTTTTACCATTATATATCTTAGTGAAAGTGGCATCTTGAGTTTCTATCATCGTACGTAGATTAATTATAACCACTTATGTACGTTGTGTCGTGTTTTTGACATTATAATAAAACAAAAAGTTTATCATTGGTAAAATATAAGTCAAATATGGGCGCAACTTATAAAAGTGGGGATTTTATTCAACCGTAGGTAGTAAAGTAGTGTAGTTAGTATATGTCTAGTAAAACTTTTTGGTCGATATTTCTTTCGATAGTTTTGTTTATCAGAGATTGGTGTTAATATAATAAAGATTCCAAGAATGTAGCACACAAACGTGTTGTTTGACATACAACATTATCAAAATATACTTAACAACTATTTTTTTTTCCAAAACTATCGATAGCTAGCTCGGGAATGAATATAATAATATTACTTGATATTCATACTATTATGTTGTTTTAAACTTCTGTAGTTATTGACATTGGAATGGCAGTGATCACCGGAATATATCTCGTATTTATCGAGACCCCGATATTTACACGGAGTAACTCAAATATTGCGGGTAGATGTTACTGGCAGTTAAATTGATCTACCCTCTTTTGAGTCATCTTATCTAGAATACCATCGATGCCTATCGTATGCCATCATTAATGTTAAGGATGTAAAAGCGATGTGTGTGTTGTGGGACAGTGCACCGGAGAATAGCGTTGAGTCGAACAGTAGCAATACCACGCCGAGCTCCACCACAACGCCCACCAAACTGTCGCCCGGGAACATTTTCAAGAACTTCTTCAAGTACTCAATGTCTTGTAGATAGAACGCTTTGCTTGGAGATACTTTACTTGCTGGCTTGTACTATGTCGCCGAAAACGAAATTGCACGCATTCCAATTAAAAATAAGTGAACGGAAATTTTGTTTTCGGATGTTCAAGATAAGCTAGCCCCTTTTTTGTAGAATTATTAACCGAGCATTTTGCCTTTATGAAGGCTGAGACTAATAAACCCTTTCCGTTACTTACAAAAGACTGAAAATTTTATAAAATTATTAAATGGCAGTGACGAACAAGTGTTTTCCTATGCATATGGTGTTATTAATTAAACATAAGGTAGTGCTGGCCAAGATGACCCACTGTTGTTTAAAAAAAAAATTAATTGCAATCCTGTAGTAGAATATTAAATCATAATTTACACATTTTAATTATACACTCGAATCTCTAATCTCGTAGGCAATCTGAAAATTTACCTGTTACACATTTTCACACGTAAAACACATAGAACCTCGACTAAATCAATTGATCCATATTACATTTGACACGTTTTAGTTTGTTATTAGTATGTATATAACGGCGGGTAGTCAGAACGGGCTATAACGAGGCCCAAATAGATCGTCCATATCGGAGGACTATCATTATAACACTGCAGGCGTGTATACCAACGTGGATTTGTTCTATTTTATCACTTTTCATACGAAAATATAACGAGATGAGCGTGATGTCGTCGGATGTCTTTTCTTCTCGGCGATTGGAAACAGAATGCCTGCCAAAATGGCGGCAACTTGCTTTTTGTTAACGAACTGTCAAAGTCAATGTCACCATTCTAATAAAATTAAAAGTATCGATGATCACGCTCTCTCTACAATCGAGTAATTAAGTAATTGAGTAACTAGCAATTAAAATAAAAGAAACTAAATCAAACGATCTTCGTAAAGATGATGCGACATATATATATATATATATAATATACGTATACATAATAAGATTATAAGATTAATATTTGTAAGATATATAAGAAGAAATTTTTCCATTGAACTTAGCGCGGTTATAGTCATCATGATTGATGCAAAAACAAGGGCCAAGTAAATCAACGATTACAAAAATTTGCAATATACTTTTACACTGAGTGGGATTTTAAATTAATTCAAAAATACATAGTAATATCTTTTAATTTGATTCAGAATTATTCAGATAAGTATTGAGGAACGACAATATAGTAAATATTCGAAAATTATAAACAATGTGCTAAATTAATATCCAAGCAAAGTGTCGACGATGTGTGTTAACCTTAGCTTAAACTCATTTGTTTTAGCTCCGAATAATTTAATTTGCGGTTTATATATATGTTTTTTTTTTTTACCGCGCATGTTGATGTGCTAGCGTAGGCGTTTCGTTCTGCATGACGTTTATATAATAACACCCGAATAGAGTGTGACGTTTTGCATAATCCTTTAATTTTGCGCTTTTCGTGATAATTCTAAGTCGAGTCTACAGATGTGTGATTGATTAGGTTCTATGCGACAGGTCGTTTGTACCGCCGGTACGTGATGAAGAGAGCGAGACGCAAAGGAAAGCGCACGCCAAACGCGTCCGCGAAACGCGGCGTTCCACGCAAGGTGTGACATTGGATGAAATAAAATCGGCTGAACAACTGGTGAAGAAGAAAGCGGGCAATGGAACATCGGAAAGTCCATCGCCGACTAGTATGAAGAAAACCGAAGATACACCGGTACCCGCCAATAACGACAACGGCTCGGTGAGTCACTCACAACCTTTTGTGGTCATTAACTAGCTAGTTAGCAGAGGTTGAAGGGTTACTGATATGTATTCTTTTTTGGTATATTTATTATTTATATGTATGCTTAAAATAAATTGGTGAGGGGAAATATTAATGATATACATATATCTATGATATCTTCATTTATTTTTTATTGAAATTACTTCAAAATCTGCTACAATTTAAATATTAGTCTTTTGTAAATACGTTGGGTTTGCAATTGTATGTGTTGTCGGTTTGATCACCACTCACCGACCCTATATGTTTGTTTTCTCGAAGTAATTAATGTGTTTCACGATTACAGTGTGACGCTCTTGTTAATACGGTGATTACCATGTACTGTGCAGACACATCAACTATAGTAATGTTACGACGTCGCCTAGTAGTGCACTATCTGTCCTTTTTAGGTCTTATTCGTTTAATATTGCTGTCTCTGTCTACTTTAAGTTTTGGATAGTTTGTGGCAAAGTGACGTTTTGACATATATAATTTTGGTTGCCTGTCATAGTATTCATGCTTTATTATATATTAGTTTCGGGGACATATTAAGTTTGGGCTAGCCTTATTTATAATAATGATCATTGTGGTCTTGAAGTGACTAACATTATTCGGAAGAAATATTATATTATTTGAATATAGGTTCTAATAATATAAGCTAGTCATTTGTTCAGAGTTAATTGAACACATGATTTACCGGTCCAGTCTCTAAACATAAAAAAAAAGCAGTCAGCACAATCTATAAGTTGAGGAACACAATACTGTCGCGTAGGCGCGCGGTGGCGGTGACGCTGCGGTATCGCTCGCACTGGCGTCGGCGACCGCGACCGCGACCGCAACGATAGCGGCGAACAGCGAGCGGCGCCCGTCGTGGCGGCTGCGGCTAGATCCAGCTAACAAGGTTGTTAGGGCCGCGATGCGATAGATAGATAGATCGCTGCGCTCGTCCCGAACGTCAAGTCAGCCGTCGACCGTAAGACACAGTGCGAACGTGACATACTGCGTGTTGTTAAGTAACTCCCGCAAGGGTCTGACACCGGATGGGTGACCGAAAAATTGCTATCTCGAGCCAATCCGTGCTTCGGAAGGCACGTTAAGCCATTAGTCACATCTGCATTTGCTCCGGCTCCAATCCGCGTTGGGCCAACGTGGAAGGCCATGGCCCATTCTTAACTATCCATAAGGAAGGCCTGAGCCCCTGCAATGTGGAGGTAATAAAAAGTTGGTGTGTATTTGTTCACACAATAAGTCGGGCGTCGGGATCCTTTATAGCTACGGCTCCGGTCAATGATATACACTTATTATCAATAATAACGTTACGGTTCGTTGTGAACGAAAAGATGCAAGGGAATGCAATGAACTGCGTAACGCTGGCTTATAGTAGGCGGTTGACTATACGTTTGTTTTGAACACAGCCTTAAGGACGATTCGTATCTTTAGACAACGAACGTGCCAGATATGTATCAGTATAGATAAATAATGTTCTCTTAGTGTAAGCTTCACATTGCCACATGATTCACAGTTATACCGATATTTGGGCTCATGCTCTCAAATAAGTGGTGAAGTAAGTTGCGACTCTTACTCTAATACAGAATAGAAACAAATGTAGTTCCAATCTTTTACTGATTTTTTTTTCTACATATCATTTGTTATTGTTTAAGCTTAGATTTCTTACCGGTAAATAGATTTTTAATGTCAGTTAGGATCTGGCATATTCGGGGTCTGTAGATTGTTATGATTCTTAAAAAGATGGAGCAGAATTAGACGAGCTGTATACGACAAGATAAGATAATGTCGTTATGAGTGTCTCCCATAGCAAATACACGGATCATTTTGCGATTAGAAGAAATGAAAACTAGTCGGAAAATTATAATGAACTGATAAAATGGGTTTTATAATATTTTACCGAATTATAAACACGGGACCAATTATTAAACTTTCACTGAAGGGGGCATCAATTAATAAGAAGATTGGTGCATCATTTGTTTCATATTTAAACATTTTGTTCAACCAACGGACCTTCTGCAGGTGACAAGACTGCATCTTAGGTTCAACTAAGCGATAAATGACAATATTGCAAATTTTTTAAGAAGTATATGCACAATTTTTTAAATCTTTTGTTGGATTATGTATTAAGATGCAAGTTTTTATAGCTCGCTATTGGAGCGCCATATATTTTAATAACTCCTCCTTAACCATCGATAATGAAGGCCTGCGCCCCTGCAGTGGGGACGTAAAAGGGCTGGTGATGATGTGATGATGATATTTTAATAACAGTAACTATTCGGTAGATATAATTTTATCTAAAATTGTCTAGTCTAATTTGGCTAGGCAATATTAACTTCAATCTAAAGATACCCATTACAAATTTGGAATTTTTATCTCAAAATGTCAAAGGCTATATTCACCAAAGGCTGCATTCCTATATATTCGTGTTGTTGGTACATACAATTCTGCTCTGTCTTTTATAGTATTTTTCGATTTAGATCTATCCTTTATATAGTGTTTTCTTCTTTCCTTCGTATGATTGAATCATGAAATTGTAAAAGCTTTACCTTTTCTATTTTTTTATTACATTTCGAACATACGGGCATGTGCATCCCGAACCTTAAGAAAGGATTATGTGCTGGATGTACTACGCGTTGTATGTGTGTGTGCTTTATGTATATAGAATATGATGTTACAAGTAAGCACTTAATAGAGCTTATTTTATTTTAATAAAATTGTTTTCTATACATTTTCTTTGTTCTCTTCTTTTACTTTTTGTAGTGCAAAAGAATAAATATTTACTTTCAATATAAATGACCGGCATGGTTTGTTTGATGGTATTTTTTTTTTCATTTAATAATACAAATATTTAGTTTCTGTATGAATTTTAATATTCGTCTTACAAGTAGTATATCATATTTCATAAGAAAAGGTTAATTCAACTCAATACAGACCAAATAGTTGTTTCCCGGGCACTGTATCAAGATAAGGAAATTATAGATTAAATTACATTAAAGTTTTAGCTAACTATATATGTATAACCTAAACTTTTTTTATTACAACCACGAGACTCAATATTATCAAATAACACTGTTGAATCAAATGCGCGTACAATACTGTACTCAGGAGTATGTTCGTGATTATTTTTCCTTTATCAAAAATATTGATACTTGACGGTATGTTTTAACTTTGTATGTCTACTTCACTGGAATTGATGTACCTGAGTTAACAGATCTTATTTATCAAAGTTCCTTGTTATTTTTATTATAAAATGTTATTTTATAAAAGTTAAAACAGAAAAGAACTAATTATTCACAAGAATTGCATAGAAACTTTTCCACGAACAATACTTCTCAAAAAGTACTAATCTTGTCAATTAAATGGCATCGGAATCGGAATTAGGAAGGTAAAGTAGACGTCGAACCCAAAAACATTAATTGACTGATCTCACCGATTAAAAAATGCCAAGTTTACCTAGATTCGTATTTTTTTTCGATGTTTTGATACTACAGATTGACTCGTCACTAACACAGTGGCAGATTCAGATGATTGTAATACATATTATACTTAAATTTTATCATAAGATAAGTGCATGAAAATTACTGGATGTCAATTTGACTTGGTACCTGAAACCTAACCATCTGCGTGAATTATTGTTTGAGTAAATCGATGTTATATGCATCTACATACAGCAGTACATCAGGTGTCGTTACTACATGATTTAGAACTTTAACGTCTGAACATTAGGGTTATAATTAATTATTGAAATGCTTCATTTAACTTGATATGCTGTATACTGCATTTCATTAACCAATATCAGTATGTATTGCTTTAAAGAGGTAATATATTAAGACTTCTGAAAAAATCATTATCAATTATTATTACTCGTCATATATGTGTTATATGCCATATTTATTATTTATTTATGTTTGCTGAGTCCTAAAAATTTTGGGTATAATTTTATATTATGATTAACGCTATGCATGATTGTTTTTTGATGTTTTTGTTTTAAATATTTTTTTGTGGCATGCCTATGTTAATTATTCGTTTGAATGAGAGTATTAGCAGATTCATTGAAAATAATAACAGTAGTTATGATTGGGTAAGATTTGAAATATCTTTTTCAAAATTTAAAGATTTTAAGAATGTCATGACTTACTTCGTTTTGTTTCTGAAAAGTCCAACATATTGAGGATTGGAAGAAAGACTTAATTGTTAAAATCCCTGTTAAAATTGGTGACTCTGAAAGAAGAAGAGAAATATAGATAAGGAATTTATATTGTGTTATGATGTAGTTGGGTTTTCGACGATATATTACATTAAATACACCACGATATATATCTTTATAATGATTTTTGGTGTCACTACATATCAAACGTCACGTTATCAATTTGTCTAAGATTTATTTATCATTAAGCAAATTGCTAACGGGTGGGGAAAGTATCATAGATTGATTAAGAAATTACAACTAAAACATGACATAAATAGTGGAAAAGTCATCTGTGTATATAAGTTTTAAAGAAGAGTTTCATCTCAACTAGACGTTCCTTCTTATTGTGTATATGATGGTAACAGTTCGAGTTAGAGGATGCGGGACGGTCGTCGCCGCGGCCGCCCGCCGCCGCGACGGAGACCACAGTGACATTGCCGCTCAGGCGTCCGCCTGCTGGCTCCACTGCCAACACTGCTGCGCCCACGGCCAAAGAGGATAGAGAGAAAGGTAACAGTCTCCAAAGGATTAAAGCAAAAATTTCATTAGAAAGAAAATACCTTTATTGACCACACACAGGGAGATACGATAATGATTTTACTTAAAGATAATATGCATTTATTAAAAGTGGTGGCCAATCAGGACTGTGCCTCAGCATAAGCCATACCAGTGTAGATTATCATAAGGTACAGTGCCGAATTATATTCAACTAACTGTATTCCCGCGCGCGCGATGATTAACCTATGCCAACCTAGTATAATGTAGCTACCCGTAGGTGAAAAAAATTTCAAAATCGGTCCAGTAGTTTCGGAGCCTATTCGATGCAAACAAATAAACATACAAACAATCAAATCTTTCATCTATATAATATTAGTATAGATCACGGATGAGTTAAATTGTTTTTAGCTGTCAAACGGCAATAAGAATGTAAATCGCCAGAGAGCCAAGAGCTAACTTACCTCTTTAGCTTATTGCACTTATTGAAGTTAGAGCGACGGTATTGTGAGCGACATCGTCAGTGCCAAAACTTTGGTTATCACTTGCAATTTCAGATCATAAATTCGTCAAATAATAGCTTGTGGTTAACGTGTACGTGTTGCAAAGGAAAGATCGGCTGGTGAAAGAATAGTTGACCAGAAATTTATTATCTCAAGCTCCGTGCTTCGGAAAGTTAAGCTCCCGGCTGCATTTTGCACTCATTAACATTCACCAATAAGTACTGGGCTCTGTGCGATGTGAGTAAGGTTTGTGGGGGCTCCTTATTTGTTACCATTCTATCTTGGGAATGTGTATGTCCCAGCAGTGGAGACTTTAATAGCTTCTGCGACTTTACTTCTTTTAAATATATAAGATAGATGATACCAGCTTAACATAACGACGACAGGTAAAAAAAAGAAATTCTATTTATTTCGTCACTTCGTCGTCTTTCAATTATAACAAGAAATGGCTTAGATAATTAGCATTAAGTTAAAGAGTGGGGTTGCTACGTCAAAGTTTTTAGAAAATGTACATAAGCGTGACGTCATGCGACATTTCAACTCAATGTATCGCTTCATTATATTGATTATGAAAAAAATACGTATTTAATATTGTTTATTACTCTACCTGACCTACAAACAAATAAAAATTAGTCAAATGTGTAACAGCGGACGACGAGAAGGAACGTGAAAGCAGTACGGAGAGCAAGAGTTCTAGTAATGCGTCCCCGGCGAGTACGCAGGCCGCCCTTAACGTCATACAGCGCAGGCGCAGGCCCAAGAGACGGTCCACGGGCGTCGGTCACGTCGACATGGAGGTGAGATTCTTCTTCTTAATTTCACTACAATATGTCTTCGTTTTCCATATTTTCATTTTGGCGAAGGCGTTTTAACTTCTTCGCCCTCCTTTTGTAACAGTAAAAATACCTAGTCTTCAACATTAATCAACTATTCACGGTTTCTTCCACCTTCATCTTTGAAGCGGAGAGTGGAATTTGAATTTATATTTATTATAAAGCGCCTGGTCCTTCGAGCCGGAAATTTCTAATATAAATGGCAATGACAAAGCACACGGTACAAGGATGAAAGGATTACATTATTTAAACAACTAAAAAGGTCAACAAAAATCTCCTTATATTGTCATCTAAATTTGTCTCATGCATATTATAACTATTTCAGGTGTAATTTTTAGATTTTTAATTGACTAGCAAAATGGAAGTGATTATTTTTCCTTCTCATAATAACCAAAAAATATGAGTTTGCTTTGAAATGTGTTAATATCATTCTTTCAGATAGAAATTGCTGGAATCAAAACATTCATACTATAAGGTTGATATTTTAATAATGTTTTAAATATATTTGCCATTTTTTATATTGCTTTGACTTTTTAGCGTACATTGGAATGTTTGTGCTAAAATGTCACTGTTGAGCTTATATCAATTTAGGGTTGAATTATTTTATTATTCACGTTCTAGTCTTTCGATCGAATACGTTATTCATACCATGTGTTCGAAAATTTTAACAATTCATTTATATTATTACATTTAGCGGTAACCACACACGCGAACGCTTTCTTTATGATTACACCTCTGTTATCCCAGTCAGAAGACGTCTAAATTCACAGCATATTATTACGTTTGAATCGGCACAATGAACCTTTTGCCTATTTCTAAATCGGTCTATGCATAAACTCTGCATTATTGAGTCGATTAACGCATATGTCGGAATCTGGCTCGGGTGTTATGCAAGTTTTCGTTGCGAACGTTTGATTCTGAACCACACGTGTTTGTTTTTTCTTGATTAGATATTATTAACCAATTCTTGAAGTGATCAGTACTGCGGGTTTCCATGATTTATTGACTGGCTGATTTATTTCGCAGCAAATTAAGAGTTGATTTCTGATACAAATAAATGAAATATGACGTGTATAGCTTTTGTACAACTAAAGAATGTAGTATTAAGTGATATAAAGTCCATAATAAATTCTAATGAATACCAAAAGTAAACATTCTGTTATAAAACACACAACGCTTGAAATCGTTTAAATTTGATTTTGTGTTTGAATTTGGAGATAATTCTCAAGTTCGTTTCATATATTATATATCTATTTTCTATATCTGATTTTGGCAACGTATATAACTATGCATCAGTGCTCTGATTAGTGGCATCATAATTTCCATCACCGTGAACAGGTGGTTCATAAATTCATCATCACAATTTTAGAACTTGTCCATGCTTATTAACACGTTATCTAAAGTCGTTCGATGCTGATATCCTAAAAGCGTGTGTGGGCGGGGATGGGGAGGGGTGTGTTATTGGCGTTCAAATGATTTATGATTAATTTCTCTTTTTTCAGTATCTCTATTAATAGTTATTATGTGTTTAAATATTAGGTGTCTTTCATAGCACAACTAGCTTTCCTCCAGCGGCTTCGCCCGCGTGGTCTTGTATTATATATATATAAATCTTTTGTGTCGTTGAAAAGATCTCAGCGTACAGACAACAGGCAGCTACTTTGTATTATGTCAGTAACATAATTGCTTTAGTTGTTATTTTATTGATACTTTTTTTTTATAGGACATCGTGAATGATCGCGGCGGAGGCGGTGAAAGCGGTGATGGAGATGCGGATACAGAAACGATGCAGGTAAGGATATTTCAGCCGATTTGATGCTGTATGGATCATCATCACCAGCCCTTTTACGTTCCTACTGCAGGGGCTCAGGCCTTTCTTATGGATGGTTAAGGAGGATGAGCCATGACCCTCCACGCTGGCCCAATGCGGATTGGAGGGTATTAACGACTGAAAATGCAGCCGGGACAAATACCTTAACGACAACGATCGCGGGCCGCGGCGCTTTACCACTACGCCACCGAGCTACTTCTGCCTGTATGGATAGACGCCTATTAATGTTTAAAAGTTGACCTTAATCCGGCATTTGGTACTGGCGTTCGTCTATGTTTTAAGAACGTGAAAAAACGTCGTTGGCTAAATTCTGCAACGGTACACCGTGGTTACTCTAATATGGTTTCTAAAGTAAGGGTAAAAAAAATGCATTTCATCGTCTACTTCAAGTTGAATGACTGATACCGATTAACAAAATTCGGAATTTGAATTGTGACGGGCTCTCATACAAACGTTTAGCTTCTATTTTAACCCCCTCGATGTTGCGTTGTGTACGTTAACCCCTTCGATGTTTCGTTGTGTACATAAAGGGGCACCGAGGTAAAAGGCTTACGTCAGGCAAAAAAAAAATGTTTTGAATATGCAACGATATTTTCTAGAGTCTAGGACCGTTCCATCATCAATCAAAAAAAATACAAACGCTCCGTGCATGACACGCTTCGATGTCGATCGGTGACCGAATATTTTTTGTATGGCATATTCTACGCTTTGCAAATGGTTTTTACAGGTTATAAATGGTATTTAGCACGCGGTTACGAGCATATACCGTATCGTTTCTTCTCCCGCTTCATATGTTGATGGCATAGTGTAGTGGAAAAAAATCTAGAGATTGAGGGGAGAGATTATTTGAGATATATTTTTTTTTACATAATATACATATGCATTAATGTTATTAGCTGTTACTTATTTTTTTTTTATATTGGACACTATTATACGACTGTTACCTTTATTGGATTTTCTAACATGCGTCACACCACAATTAAAACTATATGTTTTTTGTTGAGAGCGTGGGATTAACTCGTCTTTGCTATTAAACCATATGGTGTGCCCACAAATGTCTATTAAGATTTGAAGATTTCATTATAATTGGTGATGTGTGTCATCATACTAGGTCGTAGACCAAAACTTTATAATGTTATTTTTCATTCGTCACGCAACAGTATTTTATAGTGAAGATATTCGCTATTAGCTTTGAAGAATTTTTAACCGACTTCAAAACAAAAAGGAGGAGGTTATATGTGCGACGGCGATGTATTTTTTTATTTATGTTCACCGATATTTCCACCAATTATTGAATTCTTTATATAATATAGTTAAATGGATCGAGGTGGTCCCATTTCAATTTTATATATCAAATAAGTAGTTTTCCTTTTATACCAAAACAAAATACGCTTTCCACCAAATATCACCCAAATATTTAGTTGATATACGGTAAGACATGGCAAATTTAAGCTAAAAACGTAATATACAGATTACGTATTTAGAATTCATTAAAAATCCGAAAGGTGATTTTTCTTTGTTCAAATAGTATGTACATTTTTATGAAATTAGGCATGTTAATCAATTTCTTGAATTGTGATCCAATATCTATCAAACTGGCTGTTTCCCCGATTGATAAATAAATTACAGAAGACCTCCGCCTGACTTCAATAGCATTTTATTGAATAGGTAGCTTTTGAGATAAGCATTATTTATCATATTTTTAAAGTTTGAAGTCGATTATATTTTTTTTGTGACACTGCACAGCAGACTTTTTCTTTAGTACCAACATGAAGTAAATATTAAAAAGTTTATACCAAGCCAAATTTAATATTATAAATGGGAAGATGTGTTTCAATAACCTTCTTTCAACTTCGAAAGTGGTGCTGTTATGTTAATGATCTCCTTATAGAAAGCAATCTTATGATGTGGGTTAAGCCTACGGTAATAGTTGTTAAATATATTCAAAATTTCGGCAAAGGTCGCAGTGACAGCACAAGTCGTAACTATTAATGTCTACAGTGAGTTAGTTAAATATATTAATTAATACAGATCATTAAGACGGATCATTAGCGGTAGTTTAAGTAATCGCCGTTGAACTTCATGACACCTGTGAGCTTTTATCTTCTTAAATGGGGCCTAAAATGTTACATGTTTTGAACTTAGGTGAATAATTCCATTCTGTTAAATTTGGGTTTCAATAAATGTCTCTGGAGACACTAATATTAAAATTCATAAAGAAAATACTTTGGTTTTTATGAGAACAACTAGTACCTATACATATTATGAGCGATTAAAAGTGAAGTTAAAATGATGGTAGCTTGTAATGAAACATAAAATAGTAAAATTTTGGGTTATTTGAGGGTTTCCACAATTTTATGAGTATGACAACCGTAGCTAATTAAAAAAAGACGGCGAACTGAATCATCACTGTTAAAAGAGTCTGTACGTCATTTTAGCGCTTCGCACCGGTGACGGTGGCACAAAGCTCTGACGTCAGCAAACAATAGCAGCAACTATGACTTATATTTAGCACCCGGCTATATCCATCAAACGTATAATCCTCCGCGGATGCTACGCGGCTGTCTCAATACTTCAAGAATATGTGTTACTTTCGAATTATTTATCTTTTGGACGTCGCATGAAATAAATTTAACGAATTTAATACTCGACATTCCCTTTACTTTTTTCCTTTTTTTGCCTTTCCGTATAAAGCAATGTCAAAATATGTTTTGACTACTAAAATACAATATATATATGCATATATGTTTGATGGAGTATGGTTTGACGTTTTTTAATCGCACCGGTCAAGTCGTCCGCTCATTCAGTTATTCAAAACCGATTCTTTTAAATCGATAAAGCTTTGGCCCAACAAAATTGATGATATCTAGGGAAATATGAAACTTTATACGTTATCTCTCGCACGACGTTTCTAAACTATAACTCATCGTATTGAGTCAGATTAGAAGATATATCAGAGGATTGGTTATTGCATTTATTCGCTAAAAGAAATCCTCCCAATTTATGTTTGTGGTGATATAAATCAGTTCTCATGCTGACGAGCCAAAAACGTGAAACGGATGTATAAATAAATGCGTGGTATGTTTTGACATAATGTCAGAATGCGTTTTTTTATTGACTCACGATATATATTGTACACAGCGAGTAGCGTAACTTGTCGTTAATTAGTGAAATATCACTCTTGACTTATGGTTGTTGTTAATAATTAATAGTTTCTGTTCGCTTTGTTTATAAAACATGATACAAGTTTATTTATGTCAGAAATCTTTATAATTACAGATATTTCTTGAATATATGAAACGCTTTTTTTAAAATAAATTATTTTCCACTGATCTATTTTTCCGAATCCATTTTTTTTTGTGATTTATATCTAAAAATTAGTTAGTAATAATAAACTTGATCAAAATTCATACGTGTGAAAATACTGTTTGTGATAGCCGCCAGAACATCCGTTTGGTGATTTTTTGAGCCAACGGTCTAATGAAAGTCAACAGTCAAAATAATAGTGTGCGGGTTATAATAATCCTCTTTACCTAGCCTTCGGGTCCATTAGAGAGACACTTCTATGTTTTATAATATGTACAAATATTAATATAGATATTGTGCAAAAGGTACCGACAACACTCCTCTGTGTTTAAAAAACTTTGCACTGTAAACGTGTTGTATTATATCTTTGGAGAGAGCAAGTGACTATAATCTTCGTTATATTGCAGCCTTGCAACGGGACGGGTTTTCAACATTGCATTTAATGTATCGTAAAATTTTCATGTCACTTACAATTGCAATGTCACTTTTATATGGGGCGTGACGCAGATGTGTATGTACCGGTGTTAGTAAGAGCTAATTGCGTACAGTGTGCGCGAGATGCTGCCAGACTCGGATAAACGGATACTGACCCACGGCATATATAAATAAAATGAAGTATGGATTCTCATCGTCAACCTACGTCATTGCTTCGTAGATCGTACACCGGAAAAGTTTGTCGACAAAATCTCGACAATGACTATTATTTATTATACTTTTTTTTGTTTCAATTTTTTTTTTCCTTAATACAATAAAATTATTTATACGATACGTATCTGGACTGGCGGAAAATATGTATTCATCAACGTATCCCCCCTTGTTAATAAGAACGTCAATGGAACAGTTAAAAATATGAAGTATTTCGGTGAATTTCCTTTTGTGCTTATTCGTATGAAATTGACATTTGTTATTTAAAGTTAAAGTAAATATATATAACTTTTTATTTATCACGACATCAGTTTATCCGAAACTGTACAATTTCTACCAAAACATAAAAGACTTTAGTGCGTTGGAGTGAAAGTTCGAAGTCCATTACAGACATGTATTTTTTTTGTAGTAATTCGACTTTCGTGTATGTAAAATTTTGGTAGGTATTATAATTAACTATACACCCGTGTTTGCTTTTTAGCATGAAATAAATTTCAGAGTATACGTGCACGCATTTTACAGCATATTGTTTAATAAAATTATTAATTTATATATCTTTGACATGTCCTGGATAGCACATCGTTATTTTTGGTTTATGAAATGTCTGATACGGATTGAGTGGGTTCCATTAATGTTAGAAAAGCTTTTTTACAACGTGTCTTAAAGTATTAGTGAAATAGATATAGGTCTCATAACAATTTTCTCCTCTATCTATTATGTGATAAACATTGGCATTAAGTGATATGTATTTCTTCTCTATACGATAGGATTAATCCTGTCTTTCATGTTTTTATGAAAGATAAGATGCCAAGTAGTATATGTATTTAACACTGCAAACAGGAAACGTGCTTTGGGAATTTAGCGCTAGATAGTATACATGTCATCTCTTTATTTGACTTCTCTGTGTTCGCGATCTCTGTGTTCCTTCATCTTTCGATGCGCCATCAAATATTTTAAAGAAGCATTAAAAATATTAAAACAAACTTCACATACATTGCTCAGATTCCAAGGTGAGCACCTAAAGCTTCTGTATTATGAGAGTATTTGAGACAACGAAGCTACCATACCATAACACCCAGACCAGAGACAATTATAGAAAAGTTAATTTTCTACATTGACCCGACCGGGAATCGAAACCGGGATTTCAGAGAGGCGACACCTTGAAACCGGCGTGCGAACCATTACGGTGGTCATTGAACCTTTTATCAGCAAATTTTCACAAGAGAATTAGATTAGAGAATTAGTGAGAGACACTGAGCTGTATGGGTTAGATTCCTGCGTCTAAACTATTTGTGTAATTGTCTTGTTTCTTGACTTGATGCTTGTACTTTTTATTTGGGTGTTTAACAATTTAAGTTATTGGTGTTTACTGTCCTGCATAGCGATGGAACCTGCTTTATTTGATCCTGTATGAGTATGTACTTTGTCATTCACAAAAAATACATATCATTATTTTTTAAATATAAGTACTAACAAAATAGAAATGTATTTAAAAAACGGTGGTATGTATACGGCGCGGTTTATGTGATTCATAAGCACGTGAGTGACACGAGCAGTTATTTATGCGCGTGCGCAAGGTCGAGAGAAAATTAACGAAGGGATCGCTTTTGGCATAACGCAGGACTGCGAGGCACGTTTTATTTTATTACGCCTTTTATTTCCTAATATCCACAA